CCCGCCCGCATATAGTCATCCCCCTCAATTACTCGCTCGCTCTCGGACACGCCTGCTCTACGCATATTTTCTCTTGATACACGGTACTGATTCGACATATAACGTCGCAGTCATTTCAAATCTCAAAGTCGAAGTCGATACCCCTCATCTGCACTGTTTTATGGTCATGGTACCGCAGCATTATTGCATCGAATCTTTGTATGTCTGTCATCTCATATTTTTATCTATTTTCCTCGTACCGTTATTTCTCCGTTACTTTTCTTTCTCTCGTACCTTTATTTTCCATTTTGTTCTCTGGTTTATGGCATGCGATTCGTGGCGTCCTTTAGTAATCTGTTTGCTGCATGTTGTGCTTGTCATTGCCTGGCTGTGTGTATGCTTTGTAGTTGATATATCTATTGTAATTATGATGCATTGATGATTTTGTAGAGACTAGCAAATTCAGATACTTCGCAATGATCTGAATGCTAGAATCTCCATTTCATAGGGTTCGACATTGATTGACATATCTGATATCTCTTAGAGCTAGTTCGGCAACTCGATATTTTCGATATTTTTCAATATTTGCTTTGGCATGTTTGCGAAAATGTTCACCGGCATCGTTCCGAGATGTCGGAGCTCGAACCTTGCTTCTCTCCTACTGTACATATTATCAATGGATGTATACCCTCATCTAACCCTAGAGCGGCGTAAGAGGCTTTTTGCTGGTGCGGTCGCGATCACTGCGATCTGTGCACAGTACACTACTCTTCTCATGGCCCAACCTGAAGTCAATGCTCCCCCTAAGTCCAAGGCGATTCGGAGCTTGAATTTGAGCTTATCAACAAGATCAGTGATAATGAGGGTAGGGTATATACCTTGATGGATCCCCAACCACTGGGGTTCGCGATGGAGCGCCAACGCCTAGCAGCGCTCATGACGAATCCTCGGCCAGAGGTCCGGGAACGACTCCTCAAATGCATGGTACTCGTAATCAGCATCGTTGTTGCTTCTACGCACGGCATCCTACAATCAATATATCCCAAAGATCCCGAGCCCTATCACACTTCAGCGCTAACTGGGCAAGACTGGGTGATCGAGTTGCTCACTGGTCACCCAGAGCGCATCAGGTGTGAGCTTGGCATGCGCGCCAATGCATTTGTGGAGCTTATCTCCGAGCTTCGCACCATGGGCCATTCAGACTCCAAGTTTGTGTCCCTCGAGGAACAACTTGCGATTTTTCTTTACACCTCTGTGACTGGCCTATCAATCAGGCATGTTGCGGAGAGATTTCAACGCTCGAACGAAACGATTTCACGGTGAGTTTATTTTATTTTATTTCAAGTGACAGTATCTAATAGTATGTAGTTATTTCCGCAAGATGCTTATCATCTTCACGTCGGACCCGTTCTATTCAAGATACGTGCGCTTTCCAGATGGTTCGGTCCCCCGCAAAATTCGGAAGAACCCCAAATGGTGGCCCTTTTTCAAGGACGCTATTGGGGCGATCGACGGCAGTCACATCCACGTCACGCCTAAGGCCATCGAACGTCCGGTGTATCGTAATCGCAAGGGCTTCGTGTCGCAGAACTGCCTTTTCGCATGCGATTTCGAGCTCAACTTCACATACGCACTTACAGGCTGGGAAGGGTCGGCCACTGATGCTCGCGTCTACGAGGACGCCTGCTCTTACGACTTTCGCACTCCCGCTGGCAAATATTTTCTTGCCGACGCAGGATATCCTCTACGTCCTGGGTTGCTGGTACCCTACCGAAGCGTGCGTTATCATCTTGCCGAATGGGGTCGCGCCAATATACGGTAAGTTCATTCTCGATTGATTTTCAATGTGCTAAGTACTAAGTTTACAGGCCTTCTAACAAGGAGGAATTATTTAATCTACGTCACGCGTCAGCACGAAACGTCATTGAGCGCATCTTTGGCGTTCTCAAGCAACGTTTTCGCATACTGCTCTTACCACCGGCCTACGCTATGGAGATTCAAGCGCAGATTCCAGCCGCGCTTTGCGCCCTACACAACTACATTCGTCTTCGTGACCCTAGCGAGGGTCATCCTCCTGCTGATGACGAAGATGAAGATGTTGAGGATGGTGGTGGTCTTGGCGCTGACGTGGCCGCGGAGGATGACGCAGCAGCTATTGAGGAGGATAACGAGGAGGAATTTCGTCAAGGAGCTGCGATGCGTGATCGCATTGCAGCAGCGATGTGGACGCAGTATCAGCGCGTCATACAGGAACGGGGTTTAGACGCACTTGGTATCATGGACGATGACGAGGATGCTGCTGCTGATGCCGCTGATGATACTGATAGTGATGTGTAGGCTTACTTTGTACTTACTACTGTGCTCCATACTGAACAATGAACAATGAAGTGAGAACGCGCTTGTTATTGACACACAAGAGTTATTCTATTCAGTTCACAGGTGGTAGGTAGTACAACATATAGCAACACAACACAAGAAGTAGCGAGCGAACACACACAGCATGATGAGATTTAAAACATTGAAAACGAATATTGTCCTGCTGGCAGGCGGCTCAGCCCGTCATTTCAGCATCAACACGCGGCGCTGGACCGGCATCACCTGCATCAACTGCCTCGCCGATCAGCTTCCCCACGAATGCACGCCTCCTACTCTTCTCCTGAAGATTCACGTAGAACTTGAGGTAATGTTCATTGCCCTTTGAACCAATGAACATGATGAGAGCAGCCTGCTGGTCCGGCGGTATGTCAGAGTCCTCGCCTTCCAGGATTTTGACGGCTCGCATGACCAGGTCCTCACTACCTTGTGCACCATCAGGCCCTCCTCTGACAAACCATTCAAAGACGTCGGTGAGCCGGTTGATGGTGCCTTGCATCCCCACCACAGCAGCTGCCGGCGTGATCTTTGCAGCCTTGGCGGCACTGCTGATCTTGGTGACACGGCTGTTCTGGGACACCACCGGAGTCCGTGGTTTCTTGGATGGGGGGGCTGACACCAGCGTGGTGGAAGGAGGTCGCATGGACGATGACAAGTGCGTGGAGCCAATTGACTCCATGTCCCCCATCACATCCGAATATGGGCGCTTGCTGGCGTTAGAGCCAGCAGCGGTAGACGCAGCGGTAGACGCAGCGGTAGACGCAGCGGTAGTAGAGATGGCGGTGGAACGTGCAGGAGTGGAGCTAGTGATGGACGTAGAGGTGGCGGCAGTGCTTAATGGGCCTGCAGAAGCGGGAACAGCAGCAGCGCTTGGAGCAGCAGGAACAGCAGCAGCGCTTGGAGCAGCAGGAACAGCAGCAGTGCTTGATGGGCCAGCAGCATCCGCAAGATCGTTATCAGCATTGGTGGTGGAGGGAGCAGCGCCACCTGGACGGAAGACGTGCCGCCCTCTAGCGCCGCCCAATGGGATGATGGTCTGCATTTTTTCATAATGCTCCCATCCCCTGTTGCGGAAAGGACGCATGAGGTTATTTGCCTGACAAAAGTCAGCGCTCAAATCAATATGACGAAGAGGGGACATACCTTGACATACGATGTCCATACAGCCGCAGCCGCAGTTCCTTCAATCCCAGCTCCAGTCTCATTGTCCCAGTGGACCCCTGTCTGGTTGCGGTACTTCTCGATAGCATGAAATATGTTTTTAAGCTAGATGAGACTCGTCAGCTTAGATCAGATGAGATCAAATAGGGCTTACTGATGTCCACTTGTTTCGAGTTGATTTCGCTGTCTTCAGTGGACCTGCGCGAGTGGATTGAAGCGCCTCATGATTGTTGATGAACTCTGCAGCAGAGCCAAGAACCTGCTGCTTGAAGTTGCCTGCCCCTTCAGCCTCTGAGCGATGATCATAGAGATAGTCTACAAGGGTAACAGTCTCGACATCATTCCACTGCGCTGGTGGGGCCTTGGAGTGAGGGGGAGCATTGACTTCAGGTTGGGCCATGAGAAGAGTAGTGTACTGTGCACAGATCGCAGTGATCGCGACCGCACCAGCAAAAAGCCTCTTACGCCGCTCTAGGGTTAGATGAGGGTATACATCCATTGATAATATGTACAGTAGGAGAGAAGCAAGGTTCGAGCTCCGACATCTCGGAACGATGCCGGTGAACATTTTCGCAAACATGCCAAAGCAAATATTGAAAAATATCGAAAATATCGAGTTGCCGAACTAGCTCTTAGGCATGTTCATTGTTGAAAGTCTCAAAGTTGCATGCTAAGAACATTATGACTACTTGCTACATCGACGCACTTGTGGGTAGTAAATCCAATGAATTTCATTAGGTGATTTCAGAGGATGATCCTCTAAAACTCAAGAGCATTAAGTGCTGAAACGGAGGTGCTGAAATTGCCGTTTTTTACTCTGAAACCGTACTCTCAAATCACACTCTGAAATCACACTGAAAATGCACTCTGAAAATGTGCTCTGAAATCACGCTGTGAAAATTTGCTCTGAAATGATCCTCTGAAATTACACTCTGGTATTGTCACCCAGATTCTGACATATTACTGCATAAAGAACTGAATTACATTAGTGAATAAGCTTGACAGTATCAAGTGAGTCTAGTGCTGCCGTGGTTCGGTCCAGAACCACGGTCCGTGGTCCATGAATTGGGGCGGACCAGACCTGAGTGAGGTTCGCATTCCACCATTTGCCTGAATGGTTCTATGTTAGTTCGAACCTTCCCTGAACCGGTCTGAACCCTGAACCGCAAGAAGTTCTGCCACATTGTCGAAGCGTGTTTTGACACTGCCTTCAATGATCCACCTTGGCCTCATGGATTCTCAAGCTTCAATACTTACTTGTTTCCGACAAATGCAGAGGCTCGTTGACAAGGTAAGTCATGACATGCACTGTTAAAACTGAACAGTGTGAGCGTTGTGCTCGTAATGACCATGTCCTCACCCAGATCCTTATCATACCAACACCCTATGATGCTATTACGATCCTCCACTGGCTGTTTGTCCACTGGCTGTCTGATTTGCTTGCACATAAAATGTGCAAGCCTCAGCAGGTAAGCAATATATTCAACATGGCTCATTCAGACTCATGCGCTGTCAATGCTGACGGTTCTCTCAAGGATGCCAAGGACATTGTCTTCTACCACGATCCCGATGATTCTGTCCCCCTTGACACCACATTGTCTGCCCCCCAGCCATCATCATCTACTAATCCTCCTCAAGATGCCTTCTCTATGCTACTGAATACTGGGTGCAAACCAACACCAGTTACAGCTGGTGCTCAACGATCCATTCGCACCTCTAAGCCATCTGCTCGCCTCTGGGATGCTGAGAACATTTATTCAACCTCAACCTCCACCAGCTCAACAAACCGCAAACGTGCATTGTCTAGCACTACTGAACTTCAACTTCAACTGGCTCACAAAAAAGTTTTCTCGTGTCTATTGTCAGATGAGGATAGCCTTGATGATGACGACGCTGGTCATGACACTGATCCTTTGAAGGACTAGCCTGAAGCTGAACCTGAAGCCAAAGCCGAAACCGAACCTGAGGACACCATCCAAGCCACTTTGCCAAAGACTGAACGTACCGCTGACATTTGCACTGTCTTCACTCACCATGAAACACACTGGATATGCAACCCTTGCAAGCATGTAATTAGAACTGCGTGTATTGTGTTCTGCTAATGTTTGGTAGGGATGCTGGTGAACCTGAGAGCAAGCATGTCTTTCGAGGAGGTATCTCTACACTGCGGACACACATCAGCTGGTATGTTCTTTCAATGTCATCTCTTACTTTTGCTGATATCTATTAGTGAAAAAAACCACTTTCAGTTCTACAAGGCTCGCTGCCAAGTGGCAGGGATTACTATGCACCCTCGAGCCATTCCGACTAGTGAGGATCCGGCTCTGTCCAGACAATCCACCCTTGATACAATCCTCATCACCAAGGTGCCTACATTTACCAAGGAAGGACTCCTGGAGTACATAATGGAACTTATTGTGACTGAAGACGAAGCGCTGCAGCTGGTCAACAAACCAGCCTTCCGAAACTTACTTCACTATGTTCGGCCTGGCCTTACTGAGAGAGATATATCTCACCGCACCAAGCTTACTGAGACCATCAAGGCACGCGCATTAGCTATAGTCGATGTCATATGCGAACATCTCGCAAAGGTTGATAGTAAAGTTTCCATGAGGTTCAACTCTTGGACTTCAATTATTGGTGACCCATTTTTCTCCATCACTGGCCATTACATTTGGAACCCGGATGATAAACCCCTGCAATGGGAGTTACGTCGTGAGCAGCTCAGTTTCGAACACATTGAGGGCGATCACAGTGGGCAAAATATTGCTCGTATGCTTATTAAATCAATTGATACATATGATGTCCGAGCTAAGGTAAGGTCTGGCCTCTACTATCTAATGGTAAAGCTAATGGTTTGCTTCATGCAGGTTGGATGGATGACTTCCGACAACGCAAGCAACAACAATACAGCAATGAAGGAAGTTGCTCGCGAAATTGATCCAGAAGGTGTCCGATGGATACCTGCCACACACCGCATTAGATGCCAGGAACACATCCTGAACCTCGCGGCATGACACTTTGTAGATGCAGTGATGAAGAAGACCCATCAGGCGCTTGATAAGGGAGATGATGCTGAACTTGACATCTTAAACAAGGAGCTTGCAACCTTGGGAATTAACGGTGACGGTGACCATGAAGATGAGTTTAACACTGGTGATTCGCTTGGCAAAGCGCTTGCACTTATAGAGCAGGTACATTATTAACCTTATCCTTATCTTATGCTCTTACTGATTGAGATTCTTAGATACGAAAATCGCCTCAAGCTCGTGCCTTCTTCAAGAAGGCCTGCAAAGAGGAGAACGTACCTGAGCTTGAGTTATTGCAGTGGATCAGAACTCATTGGGCTTCCTTATACAAATGTCTCGACCGCATGCTACTCTTATGTCGGGTACATTTTTTTTCTATTCAGTGTTCGTGAATCTGATATTTATATTTTAACCAGGCCATCAACTGTTTCACCAATCTCGCTGACAAAAGCAAAGAGGTGCCGAATCTTCACAACAAGTCTTATGATGATTTCAAGCTCGGCCAGAGTGACTGGAGACACCTTGGACTCGTTCATCAAGTCCTGAAGGAGCTGGCTACTGCCCAGCAAACTTTCTCCTCTATGAAACACCCTACTGCATGGCAAACAATACCTACATTGGAGTGCCTGGCTGACCGGTGGCAAGAGATGGTCAATGATATACAGTATGTGCCGATCGCTGATGTCATCAAGTAAGGACTTAAGAACGTCAACAAATACTACAAGAAAACAAGCGACTCGGATGTATATTTTATTTGTCTCAGTGAGCATTCATAAAAACTTCACTTTCCTCCCATCTTCCTCCCCCATCATACCTATTCACCGCCTCATATGAAAAACTTCACTTCCCTACCATCTTTACCTATCTCCTGCCTTGTATGAAAAACTTCACTTCCCTCCCATCTTTCCCTCCTATTGTACCTACTACCTCCCTCCCTCTTCACCACCTTGTATGAAAAACTTCACTTCCCTCCCATATTTCCCTCCTAAACTTCACTTATCTTTCCGTGCCCGCCTCTCATATAACTACAGTCCTTGACCCCAACTATAAGCTTGCTTATGTCAAAGAATGGTGGGACAGTCAAGACGTTGCGGATGGGAGGGCTCACCTCGAGACTGTCGTAAGTATTTGTTCAGACTCATCATTGTCCTTCGGCTTACATTCTTCTACAGTTTGACGAGTACTATAAACCACCAACTCAGATGCCTGTCGATGGACCTGCTCCGCCAACAAGACCCTCACTGGAAAACCGGTATGGTGATGCATGGATGTGTGAGGCCATTGAGGTGCGTTAAGCTGCAGACCAACTTGCTCACAATCCTCATCAAGAACTCACCGCGTATCTGTCTTCACCACTAGAGGAAGCCAATGATGTTGTTGCCTGGTGGGGGCTTCATTCTTTACAATTCCCTATGCTAGCACATATTGCACACAATTATTTGCCCATCCAGGGCAGCTCTGTCCCCTCCAAACAGGCTTTCTCAAGCAGAGGGATCACCTCCACCGTGCAACGCAATGTGCTCGCATCATCCACATTTAGCTTGTTACAGTTGTTAAAGGCAGCGTATAGGAATGGCCATGTTTCCGCGACAGTCGAGGCAGAAGCTGTGTAGTTGGATGTGTAGCTATGAGTACCTACCTATGTTTTTTTTTGCTCATTGTAAATAAATTTGGTTCGGTTCACGTTCAAACCTGAAATTAACCGGACCTGACCATTCTGAACCATTCGCTGTAGAGAATCATGCCTCTCATGGTGTGATATGGCGCTTTACACTAGGAGTACATAGCACAAACTTGCAGCATCACTCTGTGTGCTATCCACAGGTATTCCACTATGAGGTGCAGCTTTCCCGCGCAACGCGCGCCATGCACGCGCCATTCCTGCGCTTCACGATGTATATGCGCGCGCGCATTCCCACGCTTGAGCGCCCTATAGCGCCAGCCATCCAGAACCACCCATCCACTGTCCACCAAGCCCTCTAGTGCGTATATTTCTATTTCTCTCATTTGCATATTGTTCTGTCTTTATTTTTATCATGGATTCTCACTCATATATATCTTTACATACCTACTCGGTAGTGCTTTGGCTCTGCATTACAGCGCTTAGGCGTGCTATATAAGCGCCAGCAGTACTTACTTTACAAAGGGACTTTTCCTACCTTTCACTTTACTTGACTTTTACTTTCACCTCTCACTTTACCTAGTACTTACTACCTAGAAAGTTGCAATAGAACTCTATTCCTTTACATCTCGCACTCTCACATCTCTTGCATCATATTATCACTTAAGTCTAGTCTATCTATCATTTCCACATATGTGCGCACTTTCCCGCGCTTCGCGCTAATATGTGCGCATGTTCCCGCGCCTTGCGCGCACCTGCGCTTTCTCATGCTTCACTTCGGCGTGTACCTCTATATCTTTGCTGCACTTGCTTCCCCTTTAGGGTCGAACGCACTTGTCTTCTCAAGTAACGCAGACTAGGCAAAGCGCAACCTTACAACATTTATAGATACAGTCTGGAGCCTCATTTGCTCCTCACAGTATTGTTGTTTCTACATCGCCAAGGTCCAGTTCGAGGTTCATTGAGTCTGGTAGAACAGGACCTAGGTCCGGTTCTCGGTTCTCATCAAACTGCCTCTGAACCAGACCGAACCGGACCATGGCAGCACTAAGTGAGTCTAGTATAGCAACAGGGTCACATTCGAGAGCACAAGCACAGGCTAGCGAAGAGGCCAAGATAGGGAGATGACAGAAAGGCACAGCAGAGTGAAGAGGGCTGGTCCACCGGTCCAGGAGAGCAAGTCGAATAACATTGTGACAGAGGCTGATCACCATCGGTCCATGAGAGCAAGTTGGTTAATGTCATAAGATGGTTAATGTCATAATGGAGGCTGACTGGCGGGAGGTTGAATATAAGTCTTGGATAAGCTATACAAGGACTCCTCAACTCACCGGCTGACGGACACGGGTACTTTGATGGCAGGTAGGCTGCTTTGAGCTAGAAGCTACATCTGACTCATTTGGGAGACCTTGATGAACTGTTGACTAAGGATGGTGCCCCAAACATGTCAGCAAACAAAATCTAAGTCAGAGTGTGCACTATTTGGGTGGTGTCCTTCCCATTCATCTAGTATGAGATGAGCAACTTGAATGCACTTGAAGTAATAAAATATTTGGACAAACCTTGCCTTTCACTTGTGGCACTGCCTGAGATGCCAGATCATCGGAGGCCTATGGTGCTGGCTTCCACATAATTTTCATGATAATATCATCGAATGCCTCACCCTTCCCTTCATTGTCAATTGCCTGCAGTGAATCACCAACATCACCACTGGCGACCATGACTTCAAATGCCTCTTGAAATGTACAATCACAATCGTCAGCAATAAGCCGGTGTAGAAACAACAATACAGTGAAGCACGAACGAGGCTCCTGACTGTATCTATAATAGTTGTAAGGTCGCGCATTGCCTAGTCTGCTATACTTGAGACGACAAGTGCGTTTGACCCTAAAGGGGAAGCGAGTGCAGCAAGGATCTAGAAGTGTGCGCTGAAGCAAAGCGCGAGAACGCACGCGCATATTGCGCGAAGCATGGGAAAGTGCGTGCAGGTATGTGGAAATGAGAGAGACTAAGCTTAAATGATGATATAATGTAAGACAAGAGATGTGAGATGTGATGTGCCAAAGAATAGATTTCTACTGCAACTTTCTAGGTAGTAAGTGGTAAGTAAAGTTGGGTTCCAGTAAGGTGAGTGCTAGGTAAGGTGTCTAATGGTATGTACTGCTGGCACTTAAGTATGGCACCTAAGTGCTGTCATACGGAGCCGAAGCACTTCTGAGTAAGGTATGTAAAGATATCTATAAGTAAGGGTCCATGATAAAAATAAAGGTGGAACAATATACAAATGAGAGAGATGGAAATATACGCACTAGAGAACTTGTTGGACAGTGGATGGATGTGTCTGGATGGCTGGCACTATAGGGTGCTCAAGCACGGGAAAGCTGCGCCTCATATAGGGATAGCTGCGGACAGCACACAGAGTGGTGCTGCAAGTTCGTGCAATGAACTCCCTAGTGAAAGGTGCCATATCACACCATGAGAGGCATGAGTCTCTACACTGGGATGCCATGTACAGAATGAGAACAAAGTGAGTGTACTGTTCGAAGGAGAGTGGGGCAAAGGCATCAGTAGGGACATTGTTTCAGAATAGTTTATTGAAGGTGGCACAAAAAACTGCGCTGCCTTTGGAACCATAGCTGCCAGTGCTGATCATTAGCATGATAATACAACATAGTATCAGTGTCTCACTATCCAGGTCGTGCCTTGTTGAAAATTGGGCGTCCAACTCCAAAATTTTTCAAGTGAGCAAAGCAAGAAAGCCTAGTATTAAGTTCAACTCCATAGCCCTGTTCAAGGAGATCTTGAAGAAGAGTCTGGTAAACGAGACACTGCTCCTTCGCTTCTTCATCTGAGATGAGCTGTTCGAGCTTGGGTTTGAACAGCCTTGTGAATTGATGGATGGCGGTGAAATCAATGGTAGTTAACCAGTGGTTGTCCAATGCATCTTGACATGTTGTTCATGTTTGACCTTGTTCTTGATTGCAATACAGAGCTCCACTTCGAGCTTGAGAGTCTCTCAGGTGAACTTGCCACCTGGTAGTGTTGGAATGCCTTTAACTTCACAAGAACCATTCCTGAAGGACACAGAGGCATAGGATTATTGCACACATCGCTTGGACAGATAGTTGGGTAGTCCTCAACAGCAAGAGGAATTGAAACCTAATCATTGGGTGAGATAAATGAAAGCATATGAAATATTCATACCAGTGGAGGCACAGTGGCCTATTTCTTTTGAGGTGGGCATTTTTCAACCTCCTTATCTGAGTCTACGACCATCTTCCACTTTCTTGGTCAAGGAGCCTTTTTCTTCAGAGGTGGGCATTCAACATCTTTGTCTGACTCTATGACCATCTTCTGCTTCCCCAATTGAGAGGCCTTTTTCTTCAGAGGTGGGTAAACTTCTTTGTCGGAGTCAGCAGATATCTTGTTTGCTAGTTTAACAAGGTGAGGAGGAACATTAAATAGCTTGTATGCTGTATTTGCTCGCTGGTCAATGTTGTCCTCGTCCTTGCCCACAGACTGGTGGTCAATGTGCTCATCTTGATCTTCATGCTGGGTCTCCAGGTCCAGGTTATTATGCTGGCCCTCATCCTTATCTTGGGCCTCGTCCTGCTCTCCATCCTCGTCTTTGGCCTGGTCTTCATTCTCACCTTCAGCCCAGTCTAGGTCCTGATCTTTGTCTTCATCTGGGTCCTGGTCTTCATCTGGGTGCCAGTCTTCATCTGTGTCTTGATCTTCATACTCATCCTGATCTTCATCTTCATCATCGTCCAGTTCTTCACTCTCCTCATCATCTGAGTATCCCCACACCTAGTGATGTATTAAAGTAGAACAATAAATATAAATAACATATTGCTTACCTTGTTCCCTTGACCGATGAAGGTGAGACAATTCAGATGGTGAGTTTGAACAATGTTGGGTCTTGCAGAACCTAGCTGCTATTTGACCCTAAAGGGTTTCTGGACCAGGCTTAAGGCTCAGAGGAGAGGAAATATCATGAAAACTTGCTGATCTCTCAGACTCATACTGGTAACTGGTGAAAAGATAACTTGCTTATGTAAGCTACAAAAGTGCCAACATAAGGTAAGGTAAAAACAGTCTCTACCAGCCCAGCCAGAAATGAATCCCTACACCGAGCCAATGTCTGTGGTCATTGACATGGTTGTGCAGGAACTGTTGGATCCAGTCTCATACAGGCCACACGTTTCTGAACTTGTGCAAAAAAGGGTGCTTTTCTGTACCTATATGATGGGTGAGTCTAAGGCTCTGTCAATTCTTAATACACGCTCACCTTCATGACTACAAGAGCAATCTCATTTTCATCCTGCCCACAATAGGTCTTGTTGAGGTCCAGATACTGCCGGCAGCATTGTCTTGTAGCAGCCTTGAGTTGGAGTGTTAGTTAGGCTCATTTGAATTTTTCAAGTGCATATATTCACCATTAGAGCATTATACTGCCACTTATCGTCACCTAGGCCCATCGCCTCCTGGACTTGGTATCCATTACGCTTACCAGCAGCTCTAGGCGGCTTTGGGATAAGTCTTTTTGGCTTGGGATTTGAATCCATCCCAGCACATTGTAGAAACAACAATACAGCGAAGCGCTGTAGAAACAACAATACTGTGAGGAACAAATGAAGCTCCTGACTGTATCTATAAATGTTTGTAAGGCCGCGCATTGCCTAGTCTGCTATGCTTGAGATGACAAGCGTGTTCGACCCTTTCGGGGAAGCGAGTGCAGCGAGGATCTAGAAGTATGTGCTGAAGCGGAGCGTGAGAAGGCGCGGGAATGCGCGTGCGTGCTGCGCGAAGTGCGGAAAAGTGCACGTATGTATGCGGAAATGAGAAAGAGTAAGCTTAAGTGATGATATGATGTAAGACAAGAGAAGAGAGATGCAAAGTATAGACCAATAGATTTCAACTATGTTCTACTAAGTAGTAAGTGGGTAGTTACTTGTAAGTGAGTGCCAAAGTGAAGTTCAAGTAAAGTAAAAAAATGAGGAGTAGTATGTACTGCTGGTGCTTATATAGCGCACCTAAGCGCTGTAATGTGGAGCCGAAGCGCTACTGAGTAGGTATGTAGAGATATATATAAGTAAGGGTCCATGATAAAAATAAGGTGGAACAATATACAAATGAGAGAAACAGAAATATACGCACTAGAGAACTTGGAGGACAGTGGATGGATGCATCTGGATGGCTGGCACTATAGGGCGCTCAAGCACGGGAACGCACACGTGCATATACATCACAAAGCGCGGGAATGGTGCGCGCATGGCGCGTGTTGCGTGGGAAAGCTGCACCTCATATAGGGATAGCTGTGGGTAGCACACAGAGTGATACTACAAGTTTGTGCCGTGAACTTCCTAGTGAAAGGTGCCATATCGCACCATGAGAGGCATGAGTCTCTACATCTCCCAGGGACTTTAAATTCTGAGTGTCCCCACTCAGCGCGCGTGTGGTGAGGATGTCGAGTGATAGTATGCACGTGTGATGCATGTACAATGCTTGGGTTGTTGGGTGATGAATGCACGAGTGCAGGAATTATTGCACGATGTGCGAAGCGCAGGAAGGCACAGGTGCGTGTGAGGTGCGAAGGTGTGGGAATGCGCGTGCATGCACAAGGCACGACAATGCGCATAGCATGGTGAATTGTGAGGGTGACTCTGGTGTGAATAGTGCGCCATGGGTGTGGGGCGATGATGCAAGGCTGATATGGATGTGGAGCATGAAGCGTGAGTGAGACGTGCATGTACAGTGTGAAGCGCGGTGTAGAGACTCATGCCTCTCATGGCGTGATATGGCAGTTTCCACTAAGGGAGTATACAGCACCAACTCGCAGCACCACTCTGTGTACTGTCCACAGCAATTCCTATATGAGGCGCAGCTTTCCCGCGCAACGCGCGCCATGCGCGCACCATTCCCACGCTTCGCGATGTATACGCGTGCGCGCGTTCCCGCGCTTGCGTGCCCTATAGCGCCAGCCATCCAGAAGCATCCATCCACTGTCCACCAAGCCCTCTAGTGCGTATATTTCCATTTCTTTTATTAGCATATCATTCCACCTTTATTTTTATCATGAATTCTCACTTATATATATCTTTACATACCTACTCGGTAGCGCTTCGGCTCCGCATGACCGCGCTTAGGCGCGCTAAATAAGCGCCAGCAGTACATACTATTACTTACTTACCTTTCACAACTTACTTTACCTCCCATTTACCTATTACTACTTACTTACTACTTAGCAGAACATAGTAGAACTCTATCTGTTTACACCTCGCATCTCTCTTCTCTTATCTAGTATCATATCATCACTTAAGTCTAACCTCTCTGTTGTTTCTGCATACGCACGCGCGCTTTCCTGCGCGCGTGTTCCCGCGCCTTGCGCGCACCTGCACTTTCTTGCACTTCGCTTCAGCGCGTACCTGTAGATCTTCGCTGCACTCGCTTCCCCTATAGGGTCGAACGCACTTGCCATCTCAAGTATCGCAGACTAGGCAACGCACGACCTACAACATTTATAGATACAGCTAGGAGCTATCTTTGTTCCTGGCAGTATTGTTGTTTCTACAGCGGGAAAGCGCGTGCGCACAAGGCATGAGAAAGTGTATGAGTGTCGCATGTGTTGTATTGTGCATATGATGCGAAGTGGCGTGGTCCAAGAGCGATCCAATCCATGTCCAAACCAAGTCCTGCTAGGCGCGCTAAATATTAGGTGCTAAAGGTTTGAACAGCATGAGTAAAACTATATGTGAAAATATGAAAGGAAAATGGTAAACTTTGCAGATGTCCTATCCGACTTGTCTTCTTTGTGCAGCTGTCAACATCTATACCTTCCTATAAGCGAGGCGCGGGAAGCGCGCACATGAGGTGCATGGGCGTGGGAATATTGCGCGCATATGCGTGCGTTCTAAGGTAAAAAGAGCATGGTGCTGCATCATGCGTTTGAAATTAAATAATATCCTATTGAGCTAGGCGGGCACAATCTAAGGTTGTTTTGTTGTTTTTCTTCTATGGTCTTCTAGGGGATTCTTATATGCATATATATTAGTGTGTTATTAGTCCTTTGGACGGTGTTATAATGAGAGAAATAAAAATGAAAGAGTGCTGGACGAAACCCAGGGTAAAACGAATGATATCATATGGACAGTGATGGTATATCTTCTCTTTGGTGCGCCACTGAAGCACTCGATCCTCCTCCTTAAGCACGTGACTAGTGTGCTTCACGTCTCTTGCGAGCTGACACTTTACCCAAGGTATGGTTGGAATGCGCAAGGCTGGCGCGCTTGGGAGGCTTGTAACTAGCAGAATGAATTCCTGCACAACACACTGCAGGTTGAAGGCGCGCCAATGGGAGGCGCTGCGAGGGGTATAGAGGTGCTCTACAAGCTGATAGGATGCGCATGATGTGCGCACTTTGGGGCGATTTTGCGCGAATTTGATTATATTGGCCGAACACACGAGGAACGGCCATTTTCCTGCAAACATGTTAGCAAGAGATGTATATAATGTTGAATTAGGCGCAAATGTTGCACAAATGGGCTGTAAGGGTGATATATCAAGGCGCATAGGTGAAGGAGAATAGTGTGCATCAGGGTGTGCAAGAACGAATTTGACATGGTAAGCAAACACGCGAAGAATGCGAATAAATGTGGGAAGTGTGAAGTTAAAGATGATGATAGGGGAGTTAGGCGCATATGTATGTGTCAGGTGCGCGCCTAAGTCGCGCCTGGATGGCTGATTGTAATATACCTTGTGTTGAATGAAAGAAATGCAATTTAAAAGGGGAGAAGTGAAAGAAATGCGATAGTGTGAAAACTCTGCTAAAGTTATGAATGTGCGAGGCGTGGGAATGCACGATCATGGCGCATAAATAAGGGGTAGTGCGAAGATGAAATCAAAGTGATTGGAAGTGTCATATAGCTCCTTAAGAGCTTCAAACATGAAAAAGACAAAAAGCGCAAAATGAGATGAGGGTAAATATACACTGCCTCTAGGCACGCACAGTGCGCATCCTCAGGCGCAATATGGTGCGCCTGAGTTACCCCAGGGTCGCCTGAGACATGCTCTGCTTGGTGGTTAGGCGCTGTGATGCACAGATGCTTTATCGGCAAGCGATAGCCACTGGAAGCAAAAAGTGCAACGTATGCATGATTGTTAGTGACAATTGGAACTACCAGAGGCAAACTCTGGTTGATGCAAGGTGCAACTTGAGCTTCTGATGCGGTAGAAGGCTCTTCTATAGGCGCGCTAAGGCGCAATTGATATTTAGGGTCATCCCTGACCTCTAATGATGCGAGCGGTGATAGTGGTGATGGAGATGGTGCGTTTGGTGAGATGTCTTCCTTAAGTGTTGCGATAGCGAGGGGCAGGCATGTTTCTAGCGATGTGTTAGTGTGCAATAGATGTTTAGAGTCATCCCTGACTTGCGATGCGATAGCGGTAGGCGCGCGCGTTTCGAGCAATGGCGCGTTAGTGTGCAATAGATGTTTAGAGTAATCCCTGACTTCTGGCGATTCGATAGATGGTGATGATGATGCGGATTGTGAAGGAGATGGTGCTGATGATGAAAGCAAAGAGGCGCCTGCAGTGCGCTTCATGAGCGCGTGCTCGAGTTCGTAATCTACAGTGGTGCCATCTGGTTGTCATATCCCGTATTCCGGACCTACATCCGATAATATTCCCACGCATCATCCGGACCTTCGGACGCCTTATCCATGTCTCCAGTCCTCTACCCATCCAGATCCCTGCACCTCTGCACATCCACATCCACACATCCACATCCAGATCCCTTTACCTCCATACATCAGACCTCTGTAACTCCACAGCTAGCCTGCTTCATTCATCCTTTGTCCTATCGCCCTAATATCATATCCCATACATCCACGCATCTTGTCCAGACCATATCCGATCTGGTCTGGTCCAATCCGATATACGATAAGCTACTTAATTCATTTCCTGTGCATATAACGTTAACACAGCCTATCCGGTATTTCCTTGTTACCGGTATCTCGGTTATACTTACTACCAGTATGCTTACTGATCCATTAACCTATGCTTCATTTCCAACTCGCGTTTGACAACTTTGCTTATGCTTCATACATAGCCTCGGACCTTTGCTTATTGATCTTTCCGATAGTCACTTAGTATATAAACTCTTGTATATGTCCTGTAGTTCCTCAGTCTGAATATCATATTAGTCCTTGCACTAGTCTTCACTCTAAGTCCTCATATCAGTTCTAGTCTTCCAACTTAGTTGTTATCCATCTCAGGCCTAGGGAGTTTCTCCCTAGG